GAAAAGTTTTCTTTTTTTATGCTCTTTCGAACGAGCTATCACAAAGGGGGTCTTCCTATTTGAAAATTAAAAGTTGGGGGCCGTTGCCCCCCCAAGGGGGGCCCCCTGAAAATTTTAGGGGGGCTAAAAAGTAGCTCCCTTTGACCTAGGAATATCCCTCAAGTTTCAAATCTTTACCTCAATTAGGTAAAAAGTTAGAGGGGGTGGAAGGGACTTTTGGATCACCCTGTATAAATGGGGGAAAGGATGAGTTGCTGGAAAAAATGTTTGATCTTGGGAAATACGTCTCGAAAAAATATCGAGGAAATGTTTTAATAAATTGGATACAATTGTCCAATAGAATCCTCGTTTGAACTGCTATGTAAAATTCGAGTTCTGATCTCAGATTCCGAGGTTCGCTTTGTTCTGACATGATTTTGAGACTTAATCCTCGAGTATTCAAACTTAATTTGACTTAACTAGGAACTATTAAGCTGCTCTCTAATTTTTACGATAATAGCCCTGGCCGGCAGGAGAGCAGACAGTTCAACATATTTAATTAGTATGTACTGCTTGTAATTATTGCTAGGAATATAGAAAATTTTCCATTCCTTTCACAGATTGAATGAATGTCACCCAACGAACGTCATAAATCAACCACAGTGAAAGAGTCTTATATAGAAGAAGGATCCATACATCGACCTCATACAGAAGCCTTCTCACTTCTAGGCCCTCGAGAGGAAATTATGCATTCAGTATAGTCTTTTTTTGACGAAACTCGTGGTAGCATTAGCATCTAAATGACAATAATTCTAATAAATGAATGAATAGATAAATAAATAAAGAAATGGATGGATAAATAAATAAAAAAAAATAGCCACTCAGATGGAAAATTTGATAAAGACCGCTGACAACTTTTCTTCCGACGCCATTGGATGAAATGAAAAAGTATTGAGTAAACAATTCCAGCGTGTAAAATATTGCATCGGTCACTTTGTATTGCTCACTTTTAACCAGGTTCAAGTTTGACAAAACGATTATTTGAAACATGTATTTACCTTTAATGTTGCCGTGTGTTCAACCCATCAAAATCAAAAAGTGATAAAGAGTAGCGTACGAAGAGACGGGTGGAGCTTGTGATGATCCTCCCCGCCCCCGCACCATAAACTACTCCATAGACCCAAAACGGGAGAAAAATCTAGTGGCGTGGCGTGCTTTGCGATTTATCGATTGATTGATCTGCCGTTCAAACCTATGGGAGTAGATCGATAAACAGGGTGTTCGCAACGAACACCTTAACAATCGATTCTTTACCACAGCTTCAAATTGGGAAAATATCGATAGAAATCGATCATTCACGCCTCGCTATACTGGTTGAATCTGTGACTTAAAACAAAAGCGGCGTAGGGACTCCACGCTATATGACCTGATGGGACTGGATGTGGGGAAAAGGAGAAAGGCAATAGATACAAAAAATAAGGGCATGCTTACTACTATGACAAGAGGGGGAGGAGGCCGACTGATACCGGAAGCATCAATTCAAATATCCCGCCACCAATCGAAGGGCTAGGTCCCGTTCTACACTGCCGTGCTAAGGAAGAACGACGTATGAACATTCGAGAGTTGCCAAATTTCCTTCGATAAAATGATTATTTTTGATGAAAGTTATGAATATTTTTCCTTTAAATTTTCAGAGTCTTTAGATGAAATTGCGAACAATATTATCAGAAAAATTTGGAGGAAAATAGTCATAAGTTTACCGGGAAATTCGCATTTTATGAAAGGAAATTTGGCAACGCCTGAAGGTTCATACGGCGTTCTTCCTTAGCACGGCAGTACAGTGGTCTGCCAAGGGAAGATCCTGGATATAATCCGACAGCCTCCATATTGGAGCTGTGAAATTTGTGTTCTTTGCGACCTCAAAAATTAGTTGATATTAAATTGTGAATGAATCATAAATTGGATTACATTTTGCGATGAAAAACTACAATATTTCTGGCTCATTCCAGAAACAACATATGCTCTCTTAGCGACTCTACGCAGATAGGTGTTATTATGTATGAGGTGTTTTTATGTATGTTTTAGTTCCTACTGAAAAATTTAGTCCAACTGATATTCTGTAAGAAAAAGTGGTAAATATGTTTCAGCAATTCAGCCCTCCGCAGATAACCCCTATGAAGCTTGGCAAGTAGCTCGCTTTTGAAAACGGAGCTGGATATACGTTTCATATCTCGCGACTCCTATAATTGGGCAACGTCCCTCACAGTCAGTCTGGCATCTTGATTGCGCGGTTGCCAATTCGAGAATCTTATTTTGAGAACTGTTTGAAATATTTTGGATTTTCCATTTCCACTTTGCATTTTGTCACTCAATTTGATCGAAGGCACTCTTTTTTTGAATCCTCTGCGGGGCAAGCACAATATCTGCAAAATTTCTTTGATACATTCGTGAAATTCCAAAAAATGCGACTGCTGAAAACGAACCTAATTTCATTTGCGCATACATGCATACATATAGTATAGCTGTTTCTAAAGTATCAGTAAATTTTAAGTAGCAGGTGACTGCAGAATTGTAGATGAATACCTGCGTTAAAAACTTCCAAGTACTTAGTCTAACAATAAGTGCATGCTTTCTTCAAGTTAATTATTACCTGACCAGAGTGAATTCTCTGAATACTTAATTTTACTTACTTTTTTTCTTTCTTAAAAGTAATGCAGTGCTATTAAGTACTTTAATTCCGTTGCGTTGGTTCTTGCCGAACGTTCTATTCTGTAATGATTGGTTATTGTATCACCTAACGCAAGTTTACTAAGTAGGTTTTGAATTGCACTTTATTTCGTCATGCCAGGTTCCATTTGTTTGTTAAACTATTGTTACTGTTCACTTGTGCGAGAGAAGCACATTTATTGATGAACAACAAAAAAAAAATCCACCTGCTTAAGTTGATTTTTCGGGAATACCTATGAGACCCCGTCCAACGTAAGTTGAAACTAAGGCCAAAGTCGAAAAATCGAAATATCTTAGATTACGAAGTTCTTGAGCTCCAATAGTTTCTACTGAAATTTTCCGCGAATTTTCTTCGCTCATTCTAAAACAAATCACACACAATTGCAAGGATACATTTTCATTAGTTTTCCTTGGAGAAAATGAAGCACAACCAGAGACAATTAAGCTTTGGGCTTTAGATTTGCATTTTTCGCATTTTGTAGTCGATTTTCATTAACTTAGTGGTTCCACCACAGGCAACATGCTGGTTTTATCGCGCAGTGACTAAGTATGCTAAGTGTAATGCAAGAGGGTTAATTTTAATTGTACTACCTAACGTCACTTCGTTGCTTAGTAATCTTGTAAAAATTTAATTTAGTTGGATTCAATTTAAGTTAGTTTATTTTATTTATTTAATTTTATTTAGTTTAATTTTATTTAGTTTATTTTATTTAATTTACTTTAATTTTGTTTTGACTAATTTAATGTAATGTAATTTATTTTAATTTTATTTTGATTAATTTAATTTAATTTAATTTAGTTTGATTTAATTTAATCATACATATGTAGGTAGATACAAGACATATTTAGTAGCAGTTACGTTATTTTGAAATAAAATTAATTTGAAAAAACGGGTGGGTTTGGGAAATGTTTGAATGGGCGTAAAGAAGGGATGCAAAAGGTCCTCGAAAGGCGCTGGCGCTTACCGAGGAAGAGGCAAGAAGCAACCGCTTGAGCAGGAGCGCTGCATACTTCCTTAGCGGGCTAAATAAATACAGGCGGTCATATTTGGTCATAATGGACGCAGACCGCAGCGCGCGCGGACAGCTATATAATTTCGCGGGTGGGAGGCAAAGCATCTAGTCGACCGCCAACTCTCCGCAAACTCACTTTGTAAGTGCTCTCTTCTTTCCGTTTCCGCTCTTAGTGTTTGTGCTCCCTCGTTTCCGATATACAATCCCTTCAATTTCCGGTTTTCGTAGTTTTCCAGTTCGAATTTGGAAAATTTGGATTTTCCTTTTTTTTAAAAGTCCCCCAGAGTTTTTCTAGAATTGTTTCTGGTGAATTATTTTCAAATCGTCTTCAAAATTCTGAAAAATTGGATTACACGGCGAATTTGTGCATCTGTGATTTGTTGAAATTTCTGTTCCGGTATTTTGGAAAAAATCATTATTCGTTTGATCGTCAGTGATGGATTGAAAATCTTAACGTTTCTTTAAAAACCAAAGCCCTCGATTGGTTATTCCGTGCACTTTTATTCATCAGTGATTTACCTATATAGCATTGTAACCGTTTTCAACATGAACGCAATTATGCCATATTCAGAGCGAATTAAGCCAATTTACTTTTTCATCTAAATAAGGATTTAAACGTTAATTTCTCTTCGATCGTGAAAATAATAGCAAAGGAAAAATTTAGTGAATGTGATAATAAGTGTCTCACTGAAATATTTTCCTATTTGTTTTCACTTTTTAAATTTAACCCCCACCCGCCGCCCCCCAACCGTACCAATGTTCAGAATTAAGCCGGGTTTTTTGTTTCTTTTCCTGTTATTAGTCGCCCAAGTTTCATTTGTTTAGCGATTTGAATCATCCCATCGGATTTGTTTTTTCTAACTAATGTAAAAAAATCCAAGCAAGGTGTTTCAAAAAAGAACAGCCCCAGAAAAAGTTTAACGAAAATGTGGTGATGTTGACGGATCTGGAAAATTTGAATTATTTCATGATAATTTAATAACATTGGAAAGAAGTCTCTTAGATCTACAGTTCAGACTCTTAAAAAATTATCAAGAAACTTTTCTCTTGATTCAATCAAATTTTTGCTTGAATCAAATGGAAACGCTGAAATAAAATATCTAGGCTCTAGATTCAAGCAGAAATTCGATTGAGTCAAGAGTATTCTTTCTTGTCGATTTTTTAAGAGTCTGGGCTGCAGATCCAAGGGATTTTTTCCGAAAAAAATAAAACAATTTAGACGCTAAGTTGAGAAACTTTAAACCGTGAAAATGTTGAAAAGTTGTGAAGGCGATCGGGACATGAATGACATTTGGACAGAGTTTATCAGAATAGAACCAACCCAAATTTTCGAAAAAATTGAGTTAAGAACGTATTTGAGTTTTACCAGCCGTAAATTTTCCTGCCAAAAACTGAAAGTCAAAAAACAGAAATTAGTTTGTTAAAAGAGGAGGGGTTAAAGTTTCTTTTCTACATTGAGCCTTAGGCAGGAATACAACCCCCCTTTTCTCAGTTTCAACTTGATGTGGGTTGGTTCCTTTCTGATGAACTCGGTCCATTCGGAGCTTACTAAACTCCTAGGAATGAACTGTGCACAAAAGTGTAGCGAAATTCTAATTGCTTGTTTTGTCTCTGTTTGTTGCAGTTAATTAATTTATTTTAGGTTTAACTTATTTATTTCACCAATTCCAAAATGTGTGACGACGAATTAGCCGCATTGGTCGTTGACAATGGCTCCGGTATGTGCAAAGCCGGTTTCGCCGGTGATGACGCACCCCGGGCTGTCTTCCCCTCCATCGTTGGACGACCCCGATACCAGGTGAGGAATTTTAAATCATATTTATTTTCAACATTAATCAATAAAAACAAATAGGTAGTTGGAAGACTGGTCGGTAAAACAATTTGGACGACGCATAGTGAATCGAGTCAATAGGAGAGGTCGGACAAAATTTGGAAACTTCAAATGCTTTTAAGTACGATTATACAAAAATTTGAGATTCCAAAAGTGGTTCCATTGGTTTCCTCGTGAAATTTTCTTCCAGAAACGTCCCCTTATATTTAAAATGTGACGAATTAAACATAAAAATTTGCAGTTTTAGTCAAACTTTTCAAGTCCGACCTCTACATTGACTCGATCCACTGTGCGAAGCAACCATTAATGGTGGAATTAAACCCGGGCGTTTGTTCTAGCCTTGCGTTTAAGTCTCCAAGATATTCTCCTCTCCCCAAATAGCGGTGATCGCGATAAGTTGCGATTTGATTGGAGGATGTATCGTAATTTCATCGACGTCGATTTGTTGCGATGTTATCGGATAAAAAATTGCGATTTCATCGCATAAAGTTTCAATAAAATCACGATTGCGTGGACGGCGATTCATCGCAATATTAGGTATCGAACAAAAAGTCGTGATGAATTTATATAAAATTTCATTTGTATCGAACGCGGTTTTTTTAGAGATGAATTGCGCGATAAGATTGATGATAATCGTCGAGATGTTGATGATCCTATCGACTTTATCTCCGAGGAATCGTAAAAAAATCGCCATCCAATATCAAAATATCGGGATTTTTCCGTTGAAAAGCGCTACTTGGGAATGGTGGAATTAAACCGGGGCTTTTTTCTAACCTTGCGTTTAAGTCTCCGAAATTTTCCCCTCTTACTGAGAAAGTAATGTCACAAATGTACATCAATGAGCTTATTCTAGGTGAGTAATACTTGGATAGCGAAGCAAAATAGTCATATCTCCTTTGCGGTGTTTCAATCATATTTGGACCGTGCTAATAAGCAGAAAGGAACCAAGCCACATCAGCTATTACCAAATTTAATCGGGCAATGTAACTTTTTACATGAAAATGGTTGTGCAGATTTTCGTGCAAACAGTGAATTTTCTGCTTAGTACGGAGCAAATTCCGTAAAACGTTCAAAGGAATCCGCACGAACGCTCCATTGTAAAAAAATTAAATTTCCCCGTTAAATTTGGCAATAGCTGATGTGGCTTGGTTCCTTTCTGCTAAACGCAGTCCATTTGTCTATCCCCTCCTTTAAACGGCAACTTGCCCGTTGCTGATCGATGAAATCTATTCAATAGAAAGTCTCGTTCTCCGTAAGAGTGGATAAATTATTTATTGGTGTTTTTTTTTTTGAGCTTAAGATGCCAAAAAATGTTTCCAATTGTGAATAAAATCAGCATTTTCGGAATATATCGACGGTGTAAGTCGGCAATCACATAACTCGGTTTGCGACGTCGCAGACTTCCTGCCATACTTAATTTTTTAAACGGAAAACTACTCAACGGCAATTCTTTAAAACTGCCGCGATTTTTCTTCTTTGTGCGAAGAAAATTCTACGAAAATGTCAAGGAATGATGTCGATTTGTTCTCCTTTAAAAAAATAACAAAGATGCGGAGATTTTCAGACACCGCAAACGAGTTATGTGATCGCCGACTTACACTGTCGATATGTTATTTGTTGTGTTTTTTTCTTCTTCTTTTTTTTAAAAAAAAAAACAAATATAAACGTTACAGTTAATCAAATTGAATTGTGATGATTACAGGGTATCATGGTCGGTATGGGTCAGAAGGACTCATACGTAGGAGATGAAGCTCAGTCAAAACGAGGTGTCCTCACGGTGAAATACCCAATTGAGCACGGAATCGTAAGCAACTGGGATGATATGGAGAAGATCTGGCACCACACCTTCTACAACGAACTCAGGATTGCTCCTGAAGAGCACCCCGTCCTCCTCACAGAAGCTCCCCTCAACCCCAAGGCCAACCGTGAAAAGATGACTCAGGTGCGAAACAAGCTTTTCTCGATTTTTCACGTCTTTCAATGCAATTTTGCAAATAAAGTAGGAGAAACATAAAGATACGGGGCACTAAATTTGCTGAGTTCACGGAGCCAAAAATGTTCTAATCCTCCACAGATTGCAATGAATTGCAATTAAGTACTTAGTTCAAATTATTACTACTTCAACGAAGTGTTGTGTATGTTGCCTATCTACTAATTGAAGGGGCACCTCTTGTTGAACTTTATTGAAATAAAAACTAAGTCACGATTTTTCTTTGCATTGCAAATTGCCTAACTCTCTGACACAACCGCGCTAACATGAAGCTAAACTTATTGATCGTTTAAAACCTACATTTATTCACTTAATGGTGTAAAAATATTGAAATTTCATGGTAAAAAAATTGCAATTTCATGGAATAAATTCGCAATTTTATTTCAATATTTTCATCGCACTATGCTACTTGGGCCTTGTCTAAGAATCATATCTTGTCTATTATAACACTATGAGTCCAGTATTTTGTTCATACGTTTTGCTTTATTCTTTTTTACATTCGGCCCCTCACATTGATGGCGGGCGAGAAATCGTTTTCGAGAGGATTTTCAAAGATTGTTTTTGAACTGGAAACTCCAATAGGTACCTCAGGAAGATACAAGAGTGTGTTTTTTACAAAAAGCTTTTAATTACTTCGGCAATTATGCATCGGTGCAGGAAAATTGATGGTAGATACGTTGTTCTACTATACAAGTCGAAAACATGGACCTCTTCTGGTTACTATACCGTAGAAATAATTAAAAGCTCGGTTTCTTCTGTTTGAATGATTGACTTTCACGAATTCATTTTTGCAGATCATGTTTGAAACCTTCAACACACCCGCTATGTACGTGGCCATCCAAGCCGTTCTTTCCCTGTACGCTTCCGGAAGGACCACCGGTATTGTCTTGGATTCTGGAGACGGTGTCTCACACACAGTCCCCATCTACGAAGGTCAGTGATTCCTACGTTTGCTTATGCTTCACTTTTCCAGACAAGGAAGTTTTTTTTATTTTTTTTCTCTTAATTTTTTTAACCCTATTATAAAGTTATCAAATTCAACAATTTGCAAGTTCTTTTTGCGTGAATCTCCATGTTTTTAATCACCTCTACTATCCCACCTTGCACAGATTGCAATAAGTTGCGGCTACATTGTAAAACTATTGCTATTGCATCGGAGTGATGTGCGTGTTCCTTATCTACTGATTGAAACGAAACTTCTTGTTAAAATTTTTCGCAATCAAATTGAAATAAGTCACAATTTTTCATTGCCTTGCAAATTATCTGATGAGACTCATTTTTTATGGTTTAAAATTGGCATTTGTCGACCGAATGATGTAAAAATATTGCAATTTTGTAAGGAAAACATTGTAATTCTATTGCATTAAGTCGGAATTGTATTCAATACTTTCATTGCACTGTGCTACTTGGGGTATGGTAGCCTATCATTATCAGAAAATTTGGCTACCTTTTATTATTAGTGGTGTTCTGGCTGCATAGATGTCTCTTGAGCCTGAATATAGTCAGATTAATCTTATTAGATTCCACGATTCATTAACACAGGGTACAAACGTCTAGGCCAGTTATTGGAAATTACACGTTTTAATTTTGCTCGGCAGCACTGGGCACGCGTCAGACCCAATTAAACACTTTACCCCCCCCCCCATATTATCCTCCGAGCGCCCCTTAATTATCGCTAATTAAAAAGGGAGTGAGCGCTTACCACTCCGTTTAGGTCTCCGTGTCCGAAAGCGTCTCGCACGCTACGCTGCGCTGGTCTTTCTAATTGATCCGCTCTCTGGGCAATAGTCGTAAAACACCACAGCATATCCAAGAGAGAGCCATTCTTGACGGAGGGGTTTCGTGATGACGTCACGTCCTGTAAAAGTCAGGGGTAAGGCTCGAAGTTAGAGGGAAACTCCCCAAAAAGCACAGATTGCGATGATTTGCAATCAGATGGTAAAATCATTGCTGCCGCATCGAAGTGTTGTTTGTTGCTTATCCGCTGATTGAAGGCGCAGGGCTTATTGAAATTTATCGCAATAAAATTTCCAACTTCGGGGTGCACGACGGCTGTTGCCAGGTGCCTTGACCCCTAGAAGGCGCCTCAACCGGTCAGTTTGGCATTTACTTACTTACCTACATACTTACTTACTTATTTTACTTACTTAAATTCATCCACGCAGCCACGCAAATACCTCGTTCAGCTCTCTTGATTTGGCAAAGAAGGAAACATTGCAATCAAGGTTTCACAGCGCCTTATAAACTGACTGTGGTGTAGGTACCTCTGACAAAAACCTGACGAAGATTCTACCCAAAGACAAAAATAATCCATATTTTACGAAGAAATATGTCACTCTCTTTTCCATGTGCCGTAACTTAGTGTTAGATTTCTTCCAAATTTCTACCGAACCAATGTAGTTCCCCAATTTTTCGAAAATTAATTGAACACGCACTCATTTTGAAAAGTTTAAATGCGATAGGTAACAGAGATTCATAATACTGTGCAATTTTGATCCATATGACTTTCCGAAGTCCTAATTTTCGGCCCTTTATGATTGTTCTCTGTAACGTTAAGGCATGTTAAGGCATTGTCAAATTTACAAAGAAGCACAACTCTCACGCACTCGGGGTGAATATTCAATTGTTTCAAGTTATGTGCAGCAACGGTGAGCATCGAAAAAGAGAAGTAGCTTGTAATGAGCTAACTACTTAATTACTGCCCTGAAAGCAGAATATTAAATGGGAGTGCGCTTGTTTCTTCACGCGCGGCCAGAGAGATAACAATTAAGTACTTACCTACCAGTGAAATGTGAAGTTGCCGTTTGGGCAGTTCGCATTTGAATACTCATCGTGACCCAAATATCATATTCGATTTTTGGTATATATGTCCATCGCAACGGCTGAGAATTATTTCCCTGAGAAGTTAAATTTTGAACGAATAGACGACTGAGAAAACCCTCCAAAAAAATGTTTTGACTTTGGCTGGCCATATATCAGGAAAATTCCTCATTTTCCCTTAGGAATTTGCTCACTTTTACGTTAATATAAAAATAATGGCAATTTCAAAACGGTGCAATAACTTACGTCTCTTTACAAAAAAATTGGATTTTATTTATCCTTACTATAATGTCTTAAAAAGTTCAAAAGTGTTGAATTTCTGACTGAGACAATAAATTTCAAAGGACTCAATCGTCAGCGATCACTAGTCAGGAGGCAGATTTTTTGACAGTCTCAATTTCGACGCTTTTTCAAAATGATCGAGTGTTTCTCTTGTGAAATACTCACCAATGCGTAAAATTGATCTTTGCCGAAATAAATTCAGTCAGATTTCAGTTGAAAGGGTTTTTAATACCTAAGAAAGTGCAACATGCCGCTTCAGCTGCAGGCTTGCGGCTTCCCAGAAAGCTAGACCCTGGTGCTTGGGCCTTTTTACACTTCATGGAGTCAATTTATACGTTTTATGCTGTATACAGCCATTACAGCCCCCTAAAATTGAAGTGAACGTTTACTTTTGATTTGACTGTGGAAAAAACTTCAGTGATTAAACTTATGATTAGGTACCTTATTCTCTTTACAATTTTATTCCTATTAGTGTATTTTCCGAGGGAAATACACTATTTTGCACTTTTCATTTTATACGCAAAATTAATACTGGCCTGGACAGTATCCTTGTTAGGATCTAAATTGACGAATTCTAGTTCTTTTCAATACATATTCGGATTGAAGTTAAACTTTCTGAACTGATTCAACGGAGTGTGTTGGGCGTCTCTGAGCCACGCCATGAGCCATGACTCGGTATTTCGCATTTGATACCGCGAGTGGCCCATCCGAGGTACCTACTGCGCGCGCCCGAACAAAAATCGCCTTCAATTAGACCATACGCAATTCGCGACACGCGTGCTCGAATAGTTGCCTGCCTCTCGTTTAGATACATGGAGAACCGAGGCAGGATAAAATTGGAGAGTGAGATGACGGTAGACACGTATGATCCAATAATCATTTTAGCAGTTACAATTCGTGTGATTTCATAATTTATGATCATGCTTGCATCTAACCCTACGTAGACATGAGTACCTACAATACAGACCGATGTGATGAAGAACTTAAAAACATACATTTACGTCGGGAATTCTCTATTGCCCTTCACTCTTTTGAAGAGCGATTAATTCCCACGAGGGTACTTATACAATTTTTTGGAAAAATTTATTAGATATCTCGATTTTTGCTTACTTCCGCGTTAGGTTCACTTTAACCGATGTAGATTCCCCTTAATTTTCCCGCATCCACTGAGAAAAAAACTTCGATCATATAAACCGAATGTACGATGTTCAATATCGGCCGTATTGATGTTCGGTTCATGTAACCATTCTCTCGGTTTTGGGAACCGTATCCTCGGTTCATGCAACCCAGCTAGCATTCAAATCGAGCAGAACGAACGAAAAAGCTCGGTTGCATGAACCGAGAGAGCGGTTGCATAAACCGCACAACACGGCCGATATTGAACACCGTTCATTCGGTTCGTATGACCGAACTTTTTTCCTCAGTGATTCTCGAAAAATTTACTCTTTTCAATACAGTAAGGATGTTAGTCGCATAGCTGCGAGTTTTACAACATTCGATTCTTAAGTATAATGTTTCCTTCCGGTTGTTTCAGGTTATGCTTTACCTCACGCCATTCTCAGGTTGGACTTGGCCGGTCGTGACCTGACCGACTACCTAATGAAAATCCTGACCGAGAGGGGATACAGTTTCACCACCACCGCCGAGCGAGAAATCGTCAGGGACATCAAGGAAAAGTTATGTTACGTCGCTCTCGATTTCGAACAAGAAATGGCCACCGCCGCCTCCTCAAGCTCCCTAGAAAAGTCCTACGAACTTCCTGATGGACAGGTAAGAACTGTCGACAGTGACACCGTCTCTTTTCAAGAGGGGCAGTGCGGTTTGTCAATAGCTAGTCAATACTGCCGTGCTAAGGAAGAACGTCGTATGAACATTCGAGAGTTGTCAAATTTCCTCCGGAAAAATGATTACTTTTGAGGAAAGTTGTGAACATTTGTCCTTGAAATTTTCAGGAAATATGTGCAAAATTGCGGGAAAAAATTGTCTGAAAACCCAGACGAGAAACATTCATAAATCCACAAGAAAATTCGAGTTTTATCTACAAAACTTTGGCAACGCCTGAAGGTTCATACGGCGTTCATCCTCAGCTTGGCAGAATAGGAAAACTCATTTTTAATCCCATGCTTTTAAATTTTCAACGAAGAAGCAGAGAGTTCATGACGCCGCACATTCGAAATGAGAGCATGATGGCCAAAAAATGTGGTTACGTACTTTGGCCCATCTCAATGTTCCTTTGGCGAGAGTTTTCGAGAATATTCACTGAAAATTTAGCGTAGGAATGTCGAGAAGCAGATAGTCTCTGGGAGGATAGGAGGCAATGGCGATTGGGCGTCGCAGAGCGCGAGGCTCCGCTATAAAAGCGGCTTAATGTATGTATGTCGAGTAGTATTTTCTTGAAAAAAAAATGTAAAAGGAGCAGTAATTTTCAAGCGTCCCAATCGATCGCTGTGGATTCGGTAGTTCCGCCAACACCATGTCTCTCCATCCTCATATTATACCCAAACTGTATTTCTCTGTGCAGGTCATCACAATCGGAAACGAGCGATTCCGTTGCCCAGAAGCCATGTTCCAGCCCTCATTCTTGGGCATGGAATCTTGCGGAATCCACGAGACGACCTACAACTCCATCATGAAGTGCGACGTGGACATCCGTAAGGACTTGTACGCCAACACCGTCCTCTCCGGAGGTACCACCATGTACCCTGGAATCGCTGACCGTATGCAGAAGGAAATCACCGCCCTGGCTCCGTCCACGATGAAGATCAAGATCGTGGCTCCCCCCGAGAGGAAGTACTCCGTCTGGATCGGAGGTTCCATCCTGGCTTCCCTGTCCACCTTCCAGCAGATGTGGATCTCCAAGCAGGAGTACGACGAGTCCGGTCCTTCCATCGTTCACAGGAAGTGTTTCTAAGCCCCGTCGTCATCCTCAAAAAACAACCGCCTCGCACGCGTGGATCGCGCACCGCCACTCTCCCTTCAGCCTCCCCCGAAAGAAAAACCACAAAACGCTTCACCTTCAGAAAATCAAGACCTGCCTCACGAACCTCAGTTTATATTGTGTGGCATTCGAGGATTTTTTGTCCTGCAACTTTCGTCCTTGGACTTTGGGACGGCGTTCGGGTGTTCCTTGATCGCCGTTGAGGTTTTGCGGCGCGCTCTGGGAGGGTCACGGGATTTTATGAAGCTCACAAAAATGGGTGAAATGCCTCAGTTACCGTGCGATGAAGTAGAACCCGCGAGGTGAGGTTCGTTGATACAACTGCCTGCGAATCCTACGATGTCCTGGGCTCCTGAAAGTCCACGATGCGCTTTACTCATCAATTCAAGCTAATTTATTTTTGTTAGGTACTTTTGTTATCAATTGTTCTTTGAGAATTTATTAATTTATTTATTATTTATTTGTTCATCCTACTCGCATTTGTCATTGTTAATTTTCGTCATTATTTTTACTTTCAAAGAAATCGTAATTCATTTTTCCAATCCATTCGTTTGTTCGTTTGTTCATTTTACCCGAAGATAAACTGCCACAGACATAGCTGTGTATCGGCAATCGAGTAGTTGGGTGTCCAAGCAACACAGGTAGCGCTTTATTGCAATTACATGGTAAAATTAGTAACATTATATTGGAGTGTTTTGCGTGTTGTCGATTCACTGATTGAAGGGGCTCCTCTTACTGAAATTGATTGAAATAAAATTGAAATCAGCCGCAATTTTTTTTGCAATGCAAATTGTCTATGTCTACCTCTCTTCCACATCGTGGAACTCATTTTAATGATCGTTTAAAATCAGCTTTTATTGACCAAATGTTATTAAAGTATTGCAATTTTAGGTTAAAAAAATGAAATCATACCTACAGCTTTCACTTGCAAAATCAATGCAATATTTTCGTTGCATTGTACTACTTGCGGGTGTGTTAACTCAAAATCAAAAAGTGTCTGAAATGCCGTTATAATTTTATAAGAAATCAAATTACGTATCGATGGTGAAACTACCAGACCACGAACCTACCTCGTTTGCGGTATTTAAAAATCTCCCCTCCCATTGAATGTTTTTTTTTTTTTTTTTAAAGAGAACAAATAAATATAATTCCTGGAAATTTTCACAGAGTTTTCTTTGTGCAGAGAAGAAAAATCGCAGAAGTTTTCAAAAACTTAGGTATATCAATTAGTTTTCCATTTAAAAAATGATGTATGACATTAATTAGTTTTCCATTTATTATGTATGACAAGAAGTCCATGACGTCGCAAACCGAGACACGTGGTCTGGTAGTTTCATCGTCGGTATGTCTTATAAATACAACGGCTTCCATGTTCTGTTTCTGGAACTGTCCTTCGAAAATGGCGTCTAATGATAGTGCTTTATTGAGACAAATTTTTCAAGGAAAAATCATTTGTCTCAAGTCGGGTAAAAGAATTTGGTATTTGCCTATAGAATTCGGCGGAGCACGTGTTGTGGTGTCTCACAGAATTAGCTGCAAGTTTCTGAAGAATCTGCGGGAATGAAGTATTTCAATCAGGCATCAGTATAAGGAGTCCTAAATGTAGCTGAAATAAGCTTGCAAAGGGGGAAAACCCTTTAGTAGTTATTCGGACGTTTTACCATGTTTCATACACACAGTCCATCCGAAGGGATACAATTAATCTCAAGTTAAACAGAAATGACAATACTTCCTCTACCCTTGGATAGCGAGAAAGTAAAAATTCAGTCCAAATGACAGTGACATTAAACGGGAATTTTTTTGGAAAATATTGGCACATTTGAACTCAGCGACCTAAAAACCCTCAGTTACTCATGTTGCAAGGTTTAAACATACGACAAATCTGATTTAATGCCGTTTAAATCTGGCAACGGGACCATAATGCGGCCGGCGCGGCGCGGGGCTGGCAAGTGCGGCGCGGGACTGCGAGACGCATATAGTAGCGCCTTTCAAGAGTGCAGGATACTTCACGCATTGCGCGTACACCACGGTGCGCCGCAGTGTTGATTTAAACTTTGTTTTCCCCTTAATTTTAAAACATGATTACAGTCAAACGGCAAATAAAATATTATGAAATAATCGATTTCGTGTTTGTGAAGTTACAAGGTATGATACGCCTTCACCTTATTAGCACGAATACAATCTTCAGCCTCGTCTGATCTGGCGCTCTCGTCTCAGTAATCAAAGGCAAGTTATTGCGGCATTGCTGCCAATAAGTTTTAGCTGGTTCAGACCAAATGAATTGGATATAGAGCCGGTGGACTCTTACTTGCATTTAGATTAGTATCTAGTGATGTTTTACTCGCAGGGTGTTGAGACGGGATTGAATTTAGGGGAATGGCTACTTACTTATATACATATATATTAAAATAATTATAAATCGACGGCGTAAGTCCGCGATCACATGCGTCTCGTTTGCGGTGTCTGAAAATCTCCGTCTCTATGTTATTTTTTTAAAGGAGAACAAATTGACATCATTCCTTGACATTTTTGCAGAATTTTCTTCGCACAAAGAAGAAAAATCGCGGCAGTTTTAAAGAATTGCCGTTGAGTAGTTTTCCGTTTAGAAAACAAAGTATGACAGGACGTCCGCGACGTCGCAACCCGAGTTATGTGATTGCCGACTTACACCGTCGATATAACACACATAAAATGATAGTAAAATGTATTACCTAGCATACATTAAAGCCAGGGTCGGACTGGCTCGCATCTGAGGGCGTAGACCCTGGGCTCGTTAAAGGGGCTTAATGTGATATTTCCTGATGGGGCATCCCCTTCGTGGAGAGGGATTCAGAAAATTTTGGCAAAGCAGCACAAGTTTACGCTATTTTCAGGTTCAAAGTTTATTAATCGTACAGAGCAAAAATTGTAAAATTGAACGTATTGAAGTGACCGACAGACTTCTGAATTTAAAGGAAACAAAAACAATTAAAGCCACTAGACGCACCCAAGTACCATTATTTCCATAAGAATCGTGTCAGTGTTGCGGTTTACACGAGCTTAAGACGTACGTCTAAAAATCCATCTTAAAAAAGAATCAGGCAAGACCCTGAAAAAAGAGGAAAGAACGCGCGAGTATCAACACAGCCGACGACAAGAAAGACGTATTCGGGCCTTTTTTGTAACTTTTCGCCCGAATCTGAGCGACACCTCATTGGCAGCATATAGCAGAGCATCGAGAGCTCACGCTTCGCGTCATCGCGCCTTCAATTTTTCAGACGCAGCACGGACGTCCATCAAGTACGAATAGTTGTATCTCTGCGCCGTCGTTAACGCGCATCCTTTCCCTCGCTTTATTTCCATATTGTGTTTGTTTCCGTTTGTCTTATTCGTAATGGTGCTTCAAGCACTACGTAAATAGCGCAGCCGAAGGTAGGAGAGATGTGCTCGGGCCTCTTTTTTAACTTTTCTCCCGAATCTGAGCGACACCTCATTGGCAGCATATAGCAGGGCATCGAGAGCTCACGCTTCGCGTCATCGCGCCTTAAATTTTTCAGACGCAGCACGGACGTCCATCAAGTACGAATAGTTGTATCTCTGCGCCGTCGTTAACGCGCATCCTTTCCCTCGCTTTATTTCCATATTGTGTTTGTTTCCGTTTGTCTTATTTGTAATGTTGCTTTAATCTAGAGAAGAGCATTGCGAGTTCACGACTCACGCCATCGCGTCTTACATTTTTCATGTGCAATGTGGACATCCATCTTGCGAGAATAGTTGTATCGCGTTTACACTTTAGATGTCTCTTACTTTTGAATTTCGAAATAAATTAAGGTTAAGTTTGCCCGAGATATGCTATGATATGTCCAAATCAATAGTCATTTTGAAAAGGAAGAAATATGTGTAAAGGTCTCTCAAGAGGTTTTTAATTGTGCGTATGTCTAAAAATCAAACCGACCATCGCCTCTAAGGGAGTTACACATAGCGAATGAAGGAGGGAGATGATAAGCGCCTGTATGTCAACGAAAAGGTGACAATTTCACAGAAAAATGTTTACGCTTCAGAAAGTAGTTCATGGACCTCTGTTCACCACTATGCGTAAAAGCACCTCTCTTCACTCCTAACTCTCTCCTCTTCCGTTCATTTAAGAAATTTTCCGCATATATTCTGGGTCGTAATTTTTTTTCTCTTCTTATTTTGCTATCTGTCAGAGGGGCGCGTTTCTGGCGCGCCAAGGGGGCGTATCTGCCAATGGCAGATTGGCCTTATGGCCAGTCCGAGCCTGATTAAAGCAGCTAACTCAATGTTTAAAATTTAGGTCCGAGAAAGTCCAACTCATGCCCACGAATGCAAGAGTCAGGCCGATACTGAATGAGAAACAGATTAGAAATTAGAACTAGAAAGTATAAGGACATAGAAAGAGGGAGAGGGAGACTGATAAAAAGGAAGGAGTCATATATACTTAAAGCTATCATGAACATTTTGCAAGCCTGAGAGTAATATTTCTGTGCCCTGGACAGGGTATTTACATAAGAGGTAATTTGATAATCTGGCGCCACCCTCAGCGTCAATGACGACGATGAGAGGTGTTGGAAGTTCTGCTAAAGCTTGCTGAGTCCCGGCACCCCCCCC